TGTATTTTTTCAAACTGTTGGCATATTACTTAAGAAACCCTGAACTTCATTTCTGCCAAACTGCATCCATAGTACAGTGACATTGCAAGATTAGCTCCATAGACTTCCCACCCCCACACTCTAAGTACAAGATTTACACTTGTATTTTTTTCTAGGTGTTTTGTAATTGTTCCTTGTTTTTTATTCATTAGGCACGGTGCTTTTGAATCATTTTGTTAATAAGATAGGGTTGCGAGATAAAGATGCCAAACAATTTTTTTCATATTCTTTTCACTTCTCGGATCATATACTGAAAAGATTTTATGCACCTTTGAGTTGCCATAATATCCTTGTTGAATGCTGACCATAAATGGAAAGATGTTTGGGTTTTCTGTTCTTGTACTTCTCATTCTGTTTTGCTGCTCTGTCTCTGATAATACAACCCTGTTTTCTTTACTTAATTTAGTAATAAATTCTGAATTGAAAAGTCTTATTCTGGAAGATGTTTGCTGTGTAATAGAAAGGAATGAAAAATTTGCTTTTATTGGATAGTATTAATAGAACTCAGGTTCAGTAGATATAGATAATTGAAATCATTTGCCATCAGATGAGGAGACAGTATAGTAGTTAGGGCTCAGGCCCAACAGTGCGCATGATGTTAAATTCCTTATAACACCTGGTCCCCCACGCATCACTGGGTACAGCCCTGGAAGTCCACAGCACCACTCGTGTGGCCTGGGCATTGCTGGAACTTCAGGGTGCAAGCAGCATTGTATCACTGGGTTCTGTCTTGAACCAGTGGCTCTGTTGACTGAGAATTGACCTCCACATCTCTAGAACAATTTGGTGTTCGGAGGGAGTCTTTCAAAACAAAAACAAACTTTTGCTTGATTTTCTTAAAAAAAAAAACTTTAGTTATTCTTTTATTGAAAATGATAGTGAAGTTCCTAATATTGAATCAAGTTCTTGCTTTAATTTTCCTAGCTTTTGCTCTATGTATTTTTACTCATTTATATTTATGTGTATACTTTAGTATTTTGAATCTTTTAAATAGGTAAAAATTTTTCACACTGAGCATTCTGTTTCTCTAAAAGAGTCTTTATCTTAAGAATCTATTTTATTTTTATTAGTGTAGTTATGTTAGTTCTCTCAGGGTTACTACTGCCATTGTAAATAATTTTTTAATTTTTCTTTCAAGTTTTTTTTAGTTTTGAATCTACAGTGTCTCGTAGGTAGCATGAGATCAGTTTTTAAAACATAATCACAATCTTCCTTTTCTTGCATTGATTGCTTTAATTCATTTATGTTTAGCGTAATTACTAAACTCTGGTAGGAGTTACAGTTTGTTTTCTGTGTCATCATTTTTTTGTATAAAAACTTCCTTTTCTGCTAGATACACTGTACCACTAATATTACTACAATTTCTTTTTCTGCTGTTTTCTTGTTTTTTAATTATTTTACTTGATTACCTTGGAGATAAGTTTTAATCTTAACTTAGATGTGCTTTTCAGATGTGTAGGAACTCAATTTCAGGAGTATCTGAAAACCTAGATTCTCTGTAAAAAGTTCCATATTACTCCACTCCCTTTTTATTTCTGTTATACAGTTTACATTTGTAATTAGTTTTTATACAATTGTCTTCTGAAACAGAAGGGAAATATTTACCACAAAAAAATACACTTACTATCTTATATTTAAGTTTTTACTTGTATCAATATTAATTATTTTCATATAAATTCATTTTAATGATTTTCACAATACCTGAAGATCTGTTAAAAACATTAATAAAGACATATAACATTAGTTCTCTATTTTTTAAATTGTTCAACCATTTCTAAAAATAGTTTTGCTGAATTTTACATTCTTTGTTTACAATCTTTGAACATTTAGAATATGGTATCTTACTGTTTTCTGGGGCTGGAGCTATAGCACAGCGGTAGGGCGTTGGCCTTGCACGTGGCTGACCTGACCAACCCAGGTTCAATTCCTCCGCCCCTCTCAGAGCCTGGCAAGCTACCAAGAGTATCTCACCTGCACAGCAAAGCCTGGCAAGCTCCCTGTGACGTACTCGATATGCCAAACACAGTAACAACAAGTCTCAAAATGGAGACGTTACTGGACCCCAACGGGAGGACTGTTTTCTGAATTGTATGAATTCAGAATTTCTGGTTAAAAATAATCAGCTTTTTATTTTTAGAATTTCTTGTACATGATGTTGTTTCTTTATTGCTTTATAAAGATGCTTTGTTTTTGTCCTGAAGCATTTTGATTTTTGTTTTGTTTTGCTTTGGTTTTGGGGTCATACCCATAAGTACTTAGAGTTTACACCTGTTTCTGCATTCGGGACAATTTTGATAAGGTGGTAGCTCACAAGCTATAAGTCTCTGGCTTGACTTAAAATTGGATTTCTTGAGTGTGTAAAGTTTTGCTGTTTTTTTTTAAAAATCAAAATTGGTAAGGTTTTAGACACTGTCTTCATGCATCTTTTTTTGTCTTATGTGGAGGATCTCATTTCGTATCTTCATATCTTTGATGATATCCTACATATCCCTGTGTGTGTGTCTGTTCATTATTGTTTTCGGTTTTTACCTACATGTATTTGATTGTCTGAAATGATGTATCTTCAAGTTCACCAAATATCTTCTACTTAGTCATATTTCCCCAGTTGTAATTAGTGAATTTTTTCATATATAATAATTGAGTTTGCAACTCAATAACTTATTTTAAAATTGTCTTCAGATTAACCTTTTATATTTTGTTATATTAATCCAACATTCTTCTTTTGTTCTTCAGACAGCACCAGTGAGATAAGTTAGCACATTAACTATATTTCAGAAGTATCATTATAGTTATTTTTTCACTGTTCATTAGTTCCGCTTTCTTGATGACAATTTCTATTAACTGCATTTTGTTTATATGTATGTAAGCCATATTGATTTATATTTGTGTCATTTTGTTTTGTTTAATGTACAAACATGTGTAATAAAATTCTCCTTCCAGGGATATCTTTTTTTGTTTGTTTCAACTTTTCATTGTTGCTTTGTTTTTGGAACTTAACTGCAGTGCTCAATGACTACTTTTACCTCTGTGCTCAGGGCTTGCTTCCCGTGGATTTTGGAGAACCAACTAAAATGTCAGGGATCAAACCTGAACCTTCCTTATGCAAAGCATGTGCTCAGCCATTGCGCAAATGCTCCTAGAAACAACAGATTGGTATAGTAAAGTGACAGGTTACAAAATCAGTACCCCAAAGTCCATGACTTCCCTATATATATACAGATAATCAAAGAGAAGAAAAAGATATTAGAAAAACAACCCCGTTCACAATTGTGGGTCAGAAAATCAAGTATATTGGAATCAACTTAACTAAAGAGGTGAAGGACCTATGCAAAGAAAAGTATAAAACACTACTTCAAGAAATAAAAGAGGATACGAGGACACAGACATATCTTCTGCTCGTGGATCAGTCAGGAGGATTAACATTGTCAAAATGGCAATACTGCCCATAGCACTAGACAAATTCATTTTGGTCCTATAGGAATACCCATGACAATCTTCAAAAGGACATCCATGATGTTTTTCAAAGAAGTAGATCAGGCACTTCTGAAATTCACATAGAAGAGTAAACTCCTGTGAATAGCTAAAGCAATCCTCAGGAAAAAGAAGATGGGAGGCAACACCTTCCCCAGCTTCAAACTGTACTACGGTAGTATTTAAAACACCGTGGTATTGCACTTTTTAATCCCCAGAATTTCTTTTTTGTTTTATTTTGTTTTTGGTTTAGTAACGTTTTTCCCAACTAATTTCTCTTAAAATATATTTATTTTAGGGGATGTTGGCATTGAGTTGTCTTACCCTACAAACTTGTGTTCAGTTAATGATTAGACAATTATTTAATGTCTAAAAACTTAGACGTTATACTTTGCCACATGCCCTGGGTATAAGCTGGACCTTTCACAGTGCATGCTGAGTTTTCAACACTCTATTTTATTTTATTTTATTTTATTTTATTTTTTTCCTTTTTGGGTCACACCCGGCGATGCACAGGGGTTACTCCTGGCTCTGCACTCAGGAATTACTCCTGGCAGTGCTCGGGGGACCATATGGAATGCTGGGAATCGAACTCAGGTTGGCCGCATGCAAGGCAAATGCCCTACCTCTGTGCTATTGCTCCAGCCCAACACTCATTTTTAAACAGCTATACCTTTCATTTCTTTCTTGTGCTGAGCTAGAGGGGAGAGGTCTAAGCATTTTCAGGTCTTTCCTGGCATAGTAAATCTGACACTGGGTCTGTGTGTAGCCTTCTAGATTTTAGAAATATGTTAGTCATTTTCAGAGCCCATAATGATTCTATAATCATTTCCTCACTCTCCCTTATAAATTGTGTGATTATAGTATTGTCTGCTCTGACTTTTTATCACTGTCAGGCAGCTGAATCTTAGACAAGAGCTTCTAGTCATTTTCTTCAGATGCAAAAGTTTGGGGGAGTTTGGGTTTTTTTGTTGTTGTTGTTTTTTCTTTTAGTCTGGAAATCTTAGAAATCAGGTCAGATCAAAAGAATCCTCCGGGAGTGGGGTTTTTAAAGTTTATCCTGATACACCCCTCCAGTAGCTGCCACTCAGCTGTTACTGTTTTTGTAACTGCTGGTTTTCAGAGTTTCCTGCAGTGTTGGTGGTGAGGGTGGGAATATAGGACAAGTTAAAATATCAAAAAGTTTTCTTTTCATGCCACATTCAGATTTTTTTTCTAAAAAGTAAATGCTCTCTAGATCTCTATAGACCTTCACTTAATTTCCAGAGTTCTAAAGATATTTATTTTTACTTTTTTACTGCCAATTTTTCTTTGCTTTAAAAAGAAGATTTCTAGATAATTACTCTGTCATTTTTATTATGTCACTCATTTTTATTTGTGCTATAATATATTCTGTTAAATGCTGGCTGAATTAATGAAAATTCACTATAAGCAGAATGCTTCTTTCCAGAAACTTCTCTGAATGTCTGCATACTTCTGTTATATTTTAGGACTATGATGATGGATATGGCACTGCTTATGATGAACAGAGTTACGATTCCTATGATAACAGCTATAGCACCCCAACCCAAAGGTAAGATTCCATTTTAGACTAGATCCCATTTGCTCTAAAACATTCATGTACAGTGGGGAAAGAATACGAGGTGACATAGAACATTTGTAATTTTCATTATCTTTTGTTTGTTTCTTTTAATTGGAAGTTCAACACCTGAGACTAACTAGCTAATATTACCCCACATTTCCTAGTTAGAGTGTTGAAGGATTGAGACTTGGAGGATGAAAAGTTGAAAATGTACCTACGCTAAGAATTCAATGTATTCTGAGGAGGAATAGTGGCTATAACATTTGTAACTAGTCAGATCTTAAGATATAAAATCACATTAGGGATGTGAAAATATCCTACATCATTAATGCCTGGGAAAGTAAGTTTATCATCATACAATAGTTTCATATTTGAGTAACAATGATAAGTTCCTAGTGAAGTATTTTTCTAGATAAAATTATAAGAGGTAAAGTCGAGCTTTGTTGTTAACCTCTTCTGCTAATATACCTTAATGTTCATTGATTACCTTGATATTCAGTGATATAGTATATCAGTCATTATTCAGTTTAGAATTTTTCTCACTACCTAGACACTTCTTCTTTAGGCTTAAAATAATAAGTGAAAGATGAAGATAGACATACATAAAACAAAGTATTGACTTTCTGGAGCATAAATAAATATAGGCTTATATGATTATTTTGATGAAACATAAGTTTTGAATTAGTGATGCCAAGTCAAGCTTTGAAAAGGTAGGAATTAATTTGGTACTGACTTGACAGGAATATTTGTAATGTTCTTGTTACTGTTATTGCCTGATATTTTCTTTTATAACTTGCATCAATGAAGTAACCTTTTAAGACAGTTACTCTGAACTAGTCCTTTTTAATAGAAGACTGCTGTATCATGTGTGGATCTTTGAGAAGCTAGCACACCCCAGGATGACGATAGATAATATATTTTCTATAGAACTTTACGACATAAGTATCTCCTACATGTGTGCTTCCAAATCTGTAAAGTTTGTATTGCTCTTCTCATTGTTAAGATAAAGAAAAGGAGGGATGCAGAGATGGTTAAAAATTTGCCAAAAATCACACTCTAAGGGGAAAGATGATATTCTAAACCATGTTACATACCTCAAAGAGTTTTACTTTATTAAAATATTTTGTTGCTAATATAAATTGAGGTACATGAATCAACAGCTATCTCAATTTTCAGTCTGTCGTGCAAAATAAAGTTTTCAGCCCCCACATTTGCTAAGCATGCCTACATTTCCATATTTCCAGCATTATTTTTGTAAATTTTAGAAAGTCTAGAATCTAGATTGTTTGAGTGAGGTAGATGCTATTACTGCAGAATTGGATTCTGGATAACAGAAGCATTCTAGCATTTCCTGACCACACACACAGCTGAGGAGTGTTAAGTCTGAGTCATTGTCAAGTGGACTTGCCCCTTCCTAGTACATTATTCTAGAGTTTTTCTCTGTTCTGCTTTTCTCTGTTCACATCCATTTTAGTTTTCCTTTGTGTTGGGCTTTCATACACAGGTTATTTTAGTTGATCCATAATATCTGAGCAGTTTGACTAAACAGTTGTATAGCCAAATAGATAATGGTGCTAAGGTTACATTCATCCTGTACAGAAAATGAAGGACTCTTATTTTTTTACTAATTACCCATTGTCCGCCAGCTACCATTCTAGCCCTTTGTATATTTGATCTTCACAGGCATTCCAATCCTATGCAGCAAATATAATTAATACCAGTAAATAAATATGGGAATTTAATATATACTTTCAGCAAAATGCTTGTGATGTAAGATAACCTAAACACTATATTGTTTTTCAATATTTGATGTATCACTATTTCACTGTCATCTCATTATTCATCGGTTTCCTCGAGCAGGCAAAAGTAATGTCTTCATTCATCCTAGCCCTGAGATTTTGGCAAGTGCCACATTGGAGGCTATTTCAGGGTCAGGGGAATGAGACCCGTCATTGTTACTGGGTTTTAGCATATCGGATATGCCACGGGGAGCTTGCCAGACTCTGCAATACAGGCTGGATACTCTTAGTAGCCTGCATGGCTCTCCCAAGAGCTAGAACTAGACAATAAGAGGTCTTTTGTCTTCAGGGAGCTTGGTTTTATAGTCTCTGAGTATTGGCTGTTGATGGGATTACATGGCGTTGGGGGAAGTTGGTGGGTGTAACTGTCTAGCTACTGGAAGATGGGGTATCTGGGTGGAGGAAGCCCAGTCCCAATCCGAGAAGGCTTGGAGATCTCAGCCCTGGGTCCTGCACACCCTGGTTCTTCTGCCGATTTCCTTCATGCGTGAGGCTCGTCTGAGCATGTGGAGAGTGGTCTTAAGCATGGTTGTGGCTGGGTTCCAGAGGTTTTCAGCTGCCGGGGTTCAGCTTGGGGCGGGGAGGGAAACTCAACTCGTCCCCCTACAAGGGGCCCCTGTGAGGACAGCTAGGCACGAGGGCAGGAGACTCTGCATATTTGATTTAAGAAATAAATTTTAAGGTGTTTACCATGTGAAATATTTTGTTAAGGCAAGTAAATGAGTTTATTCAGAATCTTCTGGATAGTAAAAAAAGGAGAGTAAGTCATGAAACAGGAGTATAAAATGAGTCCTCGTACTCAGAACCTTCTGAAATTGATCATGGAATGCATTTCTTTTCCTACATGTCTCATTTAATTAACAGCAAAAGTTAACACATCTCTGTTTTAAAATTGATAAAACTAGGTTTCAGACTTATCTAGAATGTAAAATTAGAAATTTTTTCCATATTAAAATATGATCATATTAATATGAATGCTCTTAAACCTACATGTATTTGGTCATTTATTCAGCCAACTTATATTGAATGCACAGTGTGCGTTGTGTTTGTTGCTTGAAATAGGAAGATTCTTTAGATAGAGACTATCCTGGAAAGGCTCACAGGCCAAAAGGAAACAAATACAAACATTTAAATTCAGAAAATAATAGTGATCACTATGAGAGATGGGAGTTAAAATTCACCGTGTCTGTAAATGATCATGTTAAAGCCTGGTTGATTATTCTAGGAAAATTTCACTGAGAAAATGAAAAAAAAATTACAGGATACAGACAGGGAAGGGCATTTTGCAAAGCAACATGAACAAGCCCTGCAGTGACGTGAAATAATGCTATTTGCTATTTCCACATCATTTTTGTAGGTCTACTATAATGCACAGACTAACTGAATAATCTTCTACCATCTGTATAAGGAACTGAGTCTTCAGAGCAATGCTGGTCATAAGTGAGGTCATACTTAAACATTGGATGCTAGTGCTAGTCATACTTAAACGTTGGATGCAGAGAAATTAAAAAGATGACAATGTAGAGGCTGGATTGGCAGATGGTAAACCTAGAGGCAGAGACCAATTAAGAGACTGGTAATGATAAATTATAAGTTCTTTTAATCTTACGGAAGCCTTAAACATCATGAGAGTCAGTATATCTTTTTTGAAGTGATATTTTCAGCACTGCAACCCATCTTTACTTGAAACAAAAACAAAGAATTCTATGAGAATGCATAGTGATAAATTGAGAAACTATTGTTTAGTATTCTGAATATGTATTTAGTTTTCTCAGCCTTTAAATCAAACATCAATCCTTTTAAAGAAAAAGAAAATTGGCTTGTGAAAATTAGGTAACTTGCCTAATGACCTAAGATTCAAACTATTTATGATTTTATGTACATCTTGCTTCACACTTCTCCCAGACTTGCTTAAAGCTATTTTCTTATGTAATATATCCTCTGTATAACAGAATAAGGAGAAGAAATGGTGTCTGATCATGATCTGTTTGTGTAATTAACATAACAAAGTACTAGAGACTGTGGGGCTTAAGTACTGGAAATTAATTTTCTCACAGGTCAGAGGCTGGAAGTTTAAGGTCAAAGTGTTTACAGGTTTGGCTTTGGCTCAAGCATCTCCTTGATTTTTCAGATGGCTCCTTTCTTACTATGCATTCCTGGTCTTTCCTCTCTGTGTATTTCTACAATCTCTTTGTGTATCTAAAAATCTTCTCTTATAATGACATTAGGCTGATTGAATGAAGATTTAGTTAACTTAATTGTCTTTTTAAGCATCCTGTCTATAAAATTACAATGTAAGCTGAGGTATACATAGGATTAAGTTTTCAGTATATGGAAGGAAACACAATTATCCCCCCCACATAGAAAAAAGACAAAACTATATGTTTAAGAATTAGAATCTAGTACAAATCACTTGAATGGCAGATTTTCTAATAATCCTTCAGATTAAATAGTAGGTAGCACTGCACTGCATTCTTACTTTGGACAACCTGGCAGGCTACTGAATGTAACCTGCCCACACGGCAGAGTCCAGCAAACTCCCCGTGGTGTACCCAATATGCCAAATACCAGTAACAATGATGGGTCTCATTCTCCTAATCCTGAAAGAGCCTTGAATATGGCACTTTTGAAAATCTCAGGGCTAAGGCGAAGGAGACGTTACTGGTGCCTGCTCGAGGCAATCAACGAACAACAGGATGATCGAGATCGATCAAGCACTGCACCATAGCACTGTCCTCCCATTGTTCATCCATTTGCTCGAGTGGGCTCAGTAACGTCTCCTTTGTGAGACTTGTTGTTACTGTGTTTGGCATGTTGAATACGTCACGGGTAGCTTGCCAGGCTTTGCCGTGCAGGCGAGATAATCTTGGTAGCTTGCTGGGCTCTCTGAGAGGGGCGGAGGAATTGAACCCCGCTCACCCCAGCTGGCTGCACGCAAGGTGAATGCCCTAACCGCTGTGCTGTGGCTCCAATCCAAGTAGTAGGTATTAACAAGGAAATCATCATACTATCATCTTCATTTAGTTTACTTAGAATTTGGTACTTTGTAATTGGTACCTTGAACTTGACACGCACTCTTTCTTCTTTCAGCATGCCCCTCACGTATTGCAAACTTAAAATCTTAACATATAACGGTCTTGCACACGCATTGAGAGAGTATACTTAGCCATTTACAAATCTACATTGGCCCCG